TTTTAAGCATTATAAACCCATTAGTTAGAAATTCTCCTAATAAGTTAATTGCACAGAGTTACGATGGAGCAGCAGATATGAGTGGACAACACGCAAAAGTTCAGGCCAAATTAAACAAAAATATCCCTTTGTCCATTTTGTACACTGTTATGCGCATCAATTAAATTTGATTTTGTCCAAAGCAACTTCTGCAAACGCTCAAGTACGTGTCTTTTTTTGAAAAGTTGCAAGATATTCCTGGATTTTTCAGTAATTCACCGCAACGTGTAGCAGTACTAAATAAAATTGTGCGAAGAAAAATACCTCATGGCGCTGCAACTCGTTGGAACTTTAACATTCGTACAATTAATGTTGTATTTGAGCATAGAGAGTCAGTTATTGAGTGTATGGAAGAAATAGTAAAAAATTTTACTCAAGCAACCGTCTGCGGTGCCGCTGACTCCATTGAACGTACTTAACAAGAACCAGGATTCGTTTTTTGGCTTACATTTTTCCACCACATCATGCCACATGTGGATATTTTATTCAATCAATTGCAGAAGAGGAAAACAGACCCAACACAGGTCATATATGCCATTGATAACTTTGAACAGGTAATTGTTCATATCCGAAATACAATTGACGATATTGTAAACAAAGTTTCAAATATATGCACTGAACCACTACCAACTAAACGAAAACGTTCCGGACATAGCAAATTCGATAACCGTGTTGCAGCATTAGAAGTGTGTGACATAATTACAATTTCAATCAAAGATATATTTCAAAGATCACCTTGAAGCTGCATCTCTTTTTTTTTCTTGACAATTTGGAGAGTATTGTGGCAAGTTTCCTGAAGACAAGTTGACTACCATCTGTTCAACTTATCCACATATTGAAAAAGAACGACTCCGCACGGAACTGTCGGTTATTTATTCCAGAAGCGACTGTAAGGAAATAAATGGCGCGTTACCCCTCCTGAAATTTTCTATAAAAAGTAATTGAGATGAAGCAATGAGATGAAGCAATAAAAAAAATGCAAGAAATTCTTGTAACAGCTCCAATGACCACAGGAGAAACCGAGCGTTGCTTCTCAACCTTAAAACCGATTAAGACCTTCCTCCGCAACTCTATGACCGAAGATCGCTTATCAGCTCTATCCATGATTTCTATCGAAAATACGTTTATTTCTGAAATCGACAAATTTAATGAGATGGTCATCGACAAATTTGCAACTAGAAAGGATCGAAGAATTGAACTGTTATATAAAAAATAGATTAATTTAGACTTTACTGTTACATAATATTGAAAAAACATATTAGGTATTCGAAAACGATTTGACATTTCAGTGAACTTCTTTTGCAGAACACCCGCTACATCAGTCCACGAGCCGCCACTGTTCCTGCTTATATCTGATGGTTTTCGCCTTGCGAGCTTTAGCCATTTATCCCTCACTATT